TTCCCCCGCGGGCTTTTCACACCAGACAGAGTTCAACCCCTCAGACAGTGGCTTGCAGGATTCTCAGGGTCTCGCAATGCAAAAGTGGCCAACTCATTTTATCAGCTCACCTGCTGGACTTGTATGTCAAAGCTCTGAGGGAAGAGACCATATAAAGCAGACTTCATACTCCGTGGGCCACTGCTTCCTCTGGGCCCAGCATGCTGTGTTTTCGTTAGCAGTGTCAGATTTGTATTAACGAGCCGACTGCACTTGTATAGTGGCGCAGATCAGGCAGAGAAGTGGGAAACTGCTTCACCAGTTGAACTGCGGGGGGCTGGGCAGATTTTGCAAGCCCACAGTGGAATTTAGCCAAGATATTGAGGTTCACACCCCTACCCTTCCAAAGAGTGCCACAGGACCTTGTATGATCATTTGCGCTGGACTTTATCATCTTACCCATAATAAGGAACATCCCACTACAGTGTTCCCAGTCACCATCCTGGGGAATTGGCATGGAAATTCTGATCCAGAGGCAAGAGCGCCACCTACTGGTCCACTATCATCACTTCAGCAACTGGTTTTAGTTGCAGGTCTCCAATCCCAGTACTGTACAAACTTTGCTTATCTTTTGAGATCCTTCAATCGGGGTTAAACGGTGAAAACTGATCTGTCAATTTTTCCATAATCTGCCATACCAGGGAAGGTATTGCATAAGCAGCTGACCGTACTTTAAACCTAATAAAACTGTTATTGTGAAGAATGACTTATTTTATTGTGAAGAATTACCGCATTTTAAACCTAATAAAGCTGTTATTGTGAAGAATGACTTCATATAGAAGCTACTGTGGTATAACAGCCTGCAGAACATCAGCATCTGGTAGATTATGATCTTGAAGACAAATGGAGCACACTGGTTAACCCGGAGGAAAGCCGTCACAGCGGTCAAGAGACTTTTCGAGAACAACCGAGAAGACAGTTCAGCGCAGAGTTAGAGCCCAGAGTTAAGAGGTCATTGCACCTTCGTCTCTAAACAAAGTGAATCAGTTTCCAATTAGAACATCTCCTGTCTTGCAAAACATAAACCACTTGATATTGTCCAGCACGCTAGGCCACTGAGAAGGCGTTATCCTGGGAATCGCACCCTTGCACACCATCGCTCTTTTCAGTAGAACCAGGACATTTTCTTGGCAGTTTTAGGTTTTGTTTACTTGTCCCTTTACTTGTAGTGCTGCACCACAGAGGAGTGGGGACAGGCCTCAGAGACAGCGGTGCAAGGAAACCAACCACAGGCCGAACACCGAGAACCTCATGGGTCTCGAGCAGAGCACGGTGCCAAGGGCATGGTGTGTACAACACACAAACACTGATTACACTTCAACCTGGGGTGTAAATACACTGAGTGTAATATGGGTCACCAATAAGAACAATGACTCAGGACACTGTGATAACAAGGCGAGAAAGCCGACAGGCAGCTGTCGGGCTCCCTTTTCGCTTCTCTCTTGCTAGACACCCTTCCGACACCCACTGGCCAAAATATTGGGAACCCCAGCCTGCGGAACAGACGAACTCGCTGGCCCAAAGGAACGCACTGCAGGCTTGAGCAGCGCGAGATGGAATCCGTCGCCTTTCCCCAGATTCCAACGCCATTCCAAGAATAACGACGGAAGGCCCAGACCCTTCTAGAAGAACCAAGTGGCGCTGGGCTGTACACACTGGAATCCCGTGTGGAATGTGGGCCAGAAGATGCTCAAGCTGCTCTCACTGTTTGCAGAAACCCCGCGTTTTATTCAGTGGTGGGGTTCCTAATATTTTGGCCAGGGAGTGGGTCACTCGTTTTTTTTTGCCAGGATGCCAGAGCAGGGTGGTGAACAGGCGAAAGAGAAACGCAAAACCAGATACCCCGGCCGCGCACTGCTAATTCCTGGGCTTCCCACAGCAGCCCGTTTCCTTTCGAAAACAGAAGCCTTACAGTAGACCAGAGGTTAACAAAGCTCACAGCAGGAAGGCACAGGCCACCGAAGACCAGATGGGCGTGAACCAGACTTAGACACGAACACGCTGTCCGTTTTGAAGGTTTTCCTGCTTGTTCGGCACGACTCCGCCTTACCGTTTTCCTTCGCCTGCTTGTCTTCCTGTGCGCCGGCCACCTCCCCCCGCGGGGGTCCCTGTGCTGCCGGGGTCCCCGCCTCATCTCCGCTCCCGCCGGCGGACTCCTCCCCCGAGGACTCTCTGTAGAGAGACGGGATCGTCAGGAGGGCAGGCAGGGCTCATTTTACGAAATTCCGATTTCCAGTGAAGCTCGAACTGCCTTTTCAGGGGGAATTCACACGGGCCACTCGCGCCCACACCAGGGCCAGTTCTCCCAGAAGCCAATTAACCTTCCAGCATGTCTTCAGCCTGGACTGAAACTGCAACACCCAGAGGAAGCCCATGTGCAAACAGAAGGAACATGTGAACTCCACACAGACAGCACCCCTGGAATTGAACCCGGGGCCCCAGCGCAGCAGCGCAGCAGTGCTGACCCCTGCGCCGCCCCCTTTCCAGATCCCAGGAACCTTATTTGATCTCTGGACAGCAGTGGAATATCCCAGCTCCACCGACGTCAATGTGTGTCTCTCGTCAGTCTGCGCTCCATGAGACTCTTTCCTGCCCTTTCTCTCCAGTGAAGGAAGACGGTTTTTCACAGCTGAGAGAGGAAGTGCAAACAGGATGTGCTTCCTTCATCAGAGGGCCAAAGGGCGCAGTGCCACGCTCATTTACTTCCCTCTGTTTACTGTTGGGAAACCCAGATCTCTGCTGGCAGCCCGCTCCCGAGCTTCTCCGAGACGAGCCGCTGCAGAGCCCAGGCTGCTAAAACCGCAGCAGTAAAAAAACACCGAGCACGTTCAGCACTAAACTCCTTTTAATTTCACAATGGTCCCTTCATAAGGCACGAGCCCACACATTTCAGAGCGGCATTTTCACAGCCCGCAACGGCGGCACGTCAGCGGTCAGGCAGAGTCTCCCGGTCTCCGCCTACGCGGTCGCCTGCAGCCCGCGGGCCTCTCCGGGTCTGGATCTGGGCTCCGGGCCACGCCGACTCGCGGGAAGAGGGGGGGGGGGCGGCGCTGCACCTACTTTGCGGTCGACTCCACCGAGACATCATCCAGGGAAGCGCCGCTGTCCTCCGGTCCGCAGGGCGGCAGGCAGCCGGGGTCTCCCGCGTGCTCGAACACGGCGGCGGCTGACATGGCGGGCTCACACAGCGTCACTGCCGACAGGAGAGACAGGGGTCAGGGGTCAGAGGTCAGAGTTTGACTCTGGGTAAAATCTTATCAGAAAAGCCCCAATTCATCCATTTTCTAATAGCTCCTTCCAATTCTGTGTTACGGGGGAAAGCCAAGGGCACGAGGCAGGGTACCCCCTGGACAGGACACCAGCTCATCCCCGGGCACACAATCACACCAGGGCCAGTTTTCCCAGAAGCCAATTAACCTTCAAGTACGTCTCCGGACTGTGGGAGGAAACCGAAGCACTTGGAGGAAAGCCACGCACACACACGGAGAACATACAGACTCCACACAGACAGCCCCCCAGGAATTAAACGCAGAGCCCCAGAGCTGCGAGGCAGCGATGCTGACTACAGCGCCACCGTACCGCCTATAGGAATCGAATAAAACAAATATAAATTGATATTTCCGTGAAGGTCAATGGGTGACATCACCGCAGGCTTTCTCGTCTGCTCATTTTAATAAGGAGGTGGAACGTCACTTAGAGAGCAACCCCACCCCAGCGAAGGGGCTCTGCTTGCCTGCTACACTGACGCAGCCCGCTCTGACCCAGGTCTCCCGATCGAGCACAAAGCTCATGCTTGCAGTTCCTCATCCTCACCGATACGGCACTTTATCTCAGTCCCTAGCTGTGCCTGACAAAGGGCCTCTTTCTGAATCCTCTGAAGCCAGCAGGCCCTGAAGAGGAAGCATTTATAGGTGGAGACCAACAGACAGAAACAGGGAAGCGGCTTCGCTACAGAAAGACGCACTGTCCATAAAAACGCAGAATGCAGGAGCGTGCAGGCAGAAGTGTGAGGAATACTTTTTGGACTGCGATGCACTGGAAGCGCACAGTCCTGAGGGATGGAACAGAACCCACTGGCAGGGGTACACGAGCTCAGAGTAAACGCAGTTCTGGCAACGGGTGTTTGCATACTTGGGCAGGGTGTTTTCTTAACAGCCCGTTTTTTCCCTTCTCCCTGCCATCAGCGGAGCCCAGAGACAGGAAGCACATCGGAAAGTCCTGGCTTCTCCCGGAGACAGGCAGAACCAGCCCCCCCCCGCCCCTGGACGGCAGCCTCCAGACTTGTTTTTATCGTTTAAAGCTACAGTAACAGGTGATGCTACACCCAAGGAGCTTAGAAAACTGCCCCCTTTTTACACAGCTCTCCTCATTAGCGCTAATCATTTTACTGGGCTGCTCCTTCTGTCTAAAGGGACTCACAGGGGATTTTTTCCTGGAGCGATTTGCCTGAGGCACTTGGCTCAAGGGTACGGCTCCACTGTCTCACTTGGGTATCCACTGCCTGCCAGCCCCGGGGACCCCCCCACCAGGCTGCCTCCTGACTGCTCCCCTCTCCAAAGGCAGCAGCTCCCGCAAGAAAGGCGCCTGGAGACGGAGGGGGACTGAAAGCCGTTTTTCCTCAACAAGAGCACGGAATGTGGTGTTTTTTTTTTTTTACAACGACTCCTTGATCCCTGGCCTCCGCAGACGGCAGAGATGCGCCCACATTCCTCACCGGCTGCTCAGGCGATGTAAACCACCAGACACGCCCGGGCACAGACATCTTCCTTTTTTATTTTTACGTGAGGAAACAAGCACATGGACACCTCACAACAGGCAAACACCTCAGAGAAGTCTTGCTTGAGCACTCGTAAGAGCCCAGGGCCGGAACAGAATATTAAAGTCGGAGTTTTAAGACACGTTTATTTCATGATGTATTCGCCCAGTAATAACTGTAGCCCTCTTTTTCATTTGTTTAAACTGAGATGCACAACAAAAAAGACGGCTTTCGCATTTTTGGCAGATTTTTTTTTAAATGAATACCTAGGATATCTAAACCGGTCAGCGTGCTGTGTGCCGAGAACAATACAGCATCAGCCTGTCCTCTCCAGAGATCGGCCCTGACAGTTTCCCGTCTCAGTCATTCGTCCGTGGAGCAACTGCTGCTTCCTTCAGACAAACGACGCCCGGAACAGCTATTACTGTAGCCGGCGAGGGAAAAAAAAATATATATATATATTTTTGACTTCCGAAGTGCCAACGACAGCTGCTCCACACAGACCCAGCAACTCCGTCATCTGGGCCCCGGAAGCAGAGCTGGCACTCCGGCTTTGGGCGTGTCGTCGCCTCAACATGAAGAGACCCGAGGACACGCAACAGCCCACGACCCCGTCCACTGGTGTTTATATGGCCACGCCAGCCTCCTTCTGTGGGGCTATGAAAACGAGCCAGCACCGCACCCCGATCTCCCCCCTCCCGCAGAAAGACTCGGACCCAGGCCGGACCACGCCCTCGGCTCCTGCCGGACACGCCGGACAGCCGGTACCAAAACCGCTCATTCAGAGCGCCGGGCCGGGCCGAGCCGAGCCGAACCCAGGGAGCCGCCGACCCGCCCAGCGAGCGCTCGGACATTTCAACGAGTTACACCGCCGTCGCCCTCTCGGGATGCACAGGATATTGTCCTTCAGCTACTGACGACGCATCCAGCTCCGAAAATTACTACATTTACACCGCATTTCTATGCAAAGGGGATTCACGAGGCTCGGCGTTTGACCCGCATTAAAAAGAATTGCTCACTCCCATTCAGAATGATGCATACGACTGAAAAAAAACGAATTAAACAAATCCAGGCAGGGAATCGCATCTAAAACGGCCTGGCATCACGTTATAGGACGAGTGCTGCCAGGTCCTCAGACAAAAAGATCAAACACCCGGTTGATTCATTAGCGAATTTAAAAGGCTCTCCGGATCGTGACCCGCACGCACTCTCGAGGGCTCCGCCGGCCTCACTGAAAGCGGTCCAAAACAAATACCGGAAAAAAAAAACAGACCAGTAACGCTCTTACAGTGCATCCTCGGAACCGCGGCTGCTGGGGGGTCTGGGGTCCTTGCGCGATCGTGCCTGCTCGTAGCCCACAGCCGGCGCGTGCGGCGTCTCGCGGAGAAGCTGCCGGGTCGCCCATCGCTCGCTTTCGAACGGCGGGCCGGCCCCGCCCCCGCGGCTGCGCGGAGTTCCGCCGCTGCCATGGACACGGCGCCCCGATTGGCCCGCCGCAGAGCGGAGTCCTCATCACGCCACACGCTCCCCTCCCACGTATGGCCGGGCCCGCGGCCAATGTGGAGCCACCGGATGTTGACACTCGTAGCGGGGGGAGGGGGAGGGACCTCCGTCCTCAGAGGATGCTCAAGCATTTCAGTTTTGGACCTCAGTCAGTAGCACACGCCCACGTCAGCACTACAGCGCTGCAGATGGAAAGGGGTTACTATAGGACAAGTAACGCAGCAGCGGCTCGACGTGGTTAGTTCTCAAGTTTATGAGTCTCTTCCTCCGCACAAAAAGGGTGGTGGACACGATAAAGATACACATTCACCGTCGGGCTCCGGTTCCTCAGTGAAACAGGGCTTGGTGACCAGAGGAAGGGGCTCAGCTCCCAGGCGAAATGCTCGCTCCACTCAACAGGTCGCTGTGCAGATCCCGGGCTTTTGGCGAAGGTCAAGTGCCAGCGTGCAGCTCTGTGGCGGGGTGGGCTGTTTCCTCTCCGCCCGGCGCACCTTCACAAGGTTCAGATGGCGTCTGATCTAGGCTTCTCCTCTCCAGCCCCTCACACACGTCAGGACAGCCTCCCCAGCGGAACAGGCCTGGCCGGGGCGCCTGCCCATCCCTGCGTGTGCCACAGGAGCTGGGAGCCTCGGGGGCGCCTCCTTCAGACTCAGTTTCACTCTGCTGAAGACTGAAAGGTCGACACCGTTCCAGCCAGAGAAGAAAAAACCCTCGAGTGGAAACGTAGAGGGGATCTACGTCTGGAGAGGGGGGGCATTACCCTCGCAGTGTTTGAGTCATCATGGCCCTTCTGTTCCCGTCTCAATGCAGGCAAAGCCGTGTATAAAGAGAAGAGTGAACATGTGGCCCTGGACGATGTGCACAAGTCACCTGACTGGCCCACAGCCTCCACTCCCCTCAGTCTGGCAGCGGGCTCTGCTCTGCTTCCTCATGGGGAATTCCTTACATCTCATTACATCAACTGAGCTACAGATAACAACGCAACAGCAGCATTCCTCCCTCTGGAGCAGAATTTCCCAGTTCACAGCCCCCGTCCAGTAGCCATGGACACTGTGCTATAAGGAGGCAGGAGAGGCTGTTTTCCTCGCAACACGACTCTGCTTGCGAGTACCTGGGCGGTGGGCTCTGCTCCCGGGCGAATGCTTGCCTTTGGGCAGAGCACTCCGGGGTGACTGCTCCTCCGAACGGGCTGCTGTGAAAACTCTTTTGGCTGGGTGTGAATGGGCGCCAGTGCAGTACAGGGTCGTCGCTGTGAGCGAGAGAGAATTAGTTGTACGTTGACCTCTTGGCGGTTGGGTTCTCTCCGCTCCACTTAACACCTCTTGGCAAGATTCAGGCCTACTGTAGGCTGCCCCCCTCCAGTTCATCACAGGCATGGGCCGAGGACGTGGACGACGTGTTAAGCCCAGGTGCGGACCGCGTGGTTATTTAAGATCCCAGGGATCCCAAAAGATCCGTCTCTCGTGCGGATCACTGGAAGACACCAAGCAGGGAGCCAGAAGTCACAGGCTCGGCAGCAGGAGCGACCTGAGCACGCTTCACTCTGGAGCCTCGCGACGGACACAGATGTGTAACCACTGCGTCCTCTCAAACACAAGTACGCGTGTACGAAGGTGCATTTGACACGGCCAAAATGAAAAAGAAAACATTTTATTCTGATTTATCAGTTCGTTGAAAGGGAGTGTTTTCTTGGCAGACTTAAATAAAATTATTTCCATGATATTTGTAATTATTTTGATTGGTGTTCAGGTTGGCATGTAGGAGGAGAGCCCAGGAGAGTGAACTAGTGTTCATCTGTGGGCAATAACAAAGCACAATGTTGTGCTGAACATACCAGACTGGTTAATTTCAGGAAGTGTAAGCAAATATACTCAAATGATTTTATTATTAATCTAAATATTTTGAGACAAACAAACGGTGCTTGTACAGTAGGAAACTATGGGCTGAAGTGCTTTAAACTGCGTTGAAAATAGTTTCACAACTTGCATCACTACATCTGATAACACACAGATCCTGACACCTTTCTTGGATAATTCCTGATAGTTCCAAATCTTTAATGGGGAATTCTGAGACACGGTACTGCTTATTCCTTGATTCCTGCTGTTTTTTATTCCATTGGAAAAACAGAAAAACTGTAAGATAATCTTATTATCTACAGGTCTTTGGAAGATGCCAGTAGGTGACTAATGCTTTAAGTTACTGAACTGACTTTCATAACCTCTTGGTTATCAATTAGACTTTAAAGACGAGTAATGAAATTATGGTTGTTATACAGTAATTCAACATTTACTGGCAAACTGAGTAGGCTGCCTTTTACATCATGTTTATCCATCCATGTCTGATAATAGGAACATTATTAAAAAGGAGGCTTTTGAGTGCAAAACCACAAGATAAAGCTGCATCAGAACCGGGATAAAATCAATTGGATCTAGTCTGCATCTGTCTTTTTCCGATGCTCTTTATAAAACAAGCCTATTAAATAACAGTTGTGGGTTACTGCAGAGCAAGCAAAGTAACTGCACATGGTACAATAATACGACAGCTGTCAGCTGTCCTGTGGAGCAGGCACACAGTTATGGAATGACTGAGTAAAATGCGGATCAACAGCCAAGATAAAAAAAAGAGATGACTACCCTCTAAGTGTCGGACTAGGTACATAGGTTTGGAATACACTACAGCATCCTATGAAAACATCCTTAAAACCAACTTTGATACTACTGGACAAATCATTTAATAATCCACCTGGCTCTAAAGCCAGAATGCAATTGAAAGAATTTTGCTAAGTAATATTCTTCCTTCCTCCAAACCCCAGAGTGAGCTACTTATCATCTCTGTTAAATGAGTGAAAATGCAGGTTAATTTCTTTATATTATATGTGAACTGAGATAGCTGTCCAACTCCTTTTTGTTAGGCAGCTTGCTCTGTTTATTTTGATTGTTTGAAGACTTGCAGGTTTTCTGCTGGGGATATAAAGTCATCCTTGTGTTTATGGTCATAGAGATAAGATTAGAAAGTGAATGAGCATTTCACCTCATGCAATGAAGGGGTTATCACTTTATGGTGTAATAATTAAAGACATACTCATTGCGTTTCTAAATGTGATATATTTGCATTCATCTAAAATATCCACAATGTCTTATTTTTTCTAAGGTGGTAAGACAAAAGTACGTTCATTTTGCACATAGTTTATGTATTCAGATAGTATTTACTCCGTCTACTGTATATATTACAGCCAACAGTATCAGCTAACCTCACTCCGTGAATACTTACAGTCGTACTGTAACTTGTCTCATTAGCATGTGCTGTGTGACAGCCCTGCACAGGGAGCAAATGAAGATACAAAGATCGTGTGAATGGATCAAATTCTAAAAAAAAAAGGCAAAATTTTCTGACATGTTACAGAGCCGCTTTTTCTGAAAAAACAAGTAGGACTGCCCTGCTAAAAACAGCAACCTGTGCTACAACATTCCTTTTTTAATGATACGAAACATCCTAGCTCAGTGCTGGGGTGCTTGGTTCTTCCTCACACAGCCCTGCAACCCCAGAAAGTGGACAAGATGTCTCACATGGGGTGCCGGCTGCCTGGCCCCTGAAGACCCCAGGGATCAGAAAGCATGGCGTCTGCTTGCACATCGCTGGAAGATCTGCAGAAGAAGCCAAGCTGGGAACCAGAAAGACCACAGCTGTGCACTTCTCACTCTGGAGCCCGGTGACAGATACAGATGTGTCACCACTCTTGTCCTTTGGGACAGCTGGCACGTTCGTCCTTCCACCCATTTTCCACAGGCTTTATCCCGTTCAGGGCTGCGGGGCAGCTAGAAGCCGTTGTTTCTGTCTTTGGAGTGCCCGTGTACACATGAGAACACGCAGACTCCACCCTGACGGCACCTCAGGAATTGAACCCAGGGCCACAGCAATGTGAGGCAGCAGCACAACCTACTGCGCCACCAGGCACACTTGTTACTGTCTTGGTGACCTACTGTACGTTAAAATGGATTCCAAGTTATTTCAATTTTTGTCCCCCCCCACCCCTTCATCTTTAGGGTTGCTGAGCCGTTCGGTTTGTTTCCGTCGGCTTCGGCCTGCTTGCGCAAAAAAACGCCGGCGTGCCTCCAGCACGAAGCAGGGCCGCAGTACACAGAAGTCGCGACAGATTTGACTGAAAACACGTTTTCATGTTTTTCTTAAGCGAATCCGCTTGACGTGAATCCCTGAGCTTCAGGAAAAAAAAAAAACACGGGGGAAAAACCGAGGACTTTCCCCAAACGCGGGCGACGCCCTTTCCAGTCCCAAGCCGGCCTGGCGCAGTCCCTTCCAGCTGGAACCCGACCACACCGCCACGTCTCAGCACGAGCTACCAGGCCAGCCAGCTTCCCCGCGTCAAAACAGAGCCTTTCAGAAGGGGGGGAGTGGAATCCAGATGTGTGCAGCGGACGACCGCGCTCCTGGAATTTCCCAAGTTGTCACCAAGCCTCCGGACACGTGCCCCAGGCCGACGGGTGAGAACTGCCAGGCACGAGGCTGGGCCAGCACAGCGCAGAGGAGCGCGTCACCCACGGCCACGGACGTCTCAGCCTGGAACACCGTACCGCCGCATGGCCAGATCGGGGCGGCCAATCCACTTGCAAGGCTGATCCCTGCTGCTCTGTCACACGAGCGCCGAGCCCATCTGCCCACAGCTGCAGAGGCAGAGGTTTTTTTTTACCGGCTGGGGTTACTGCCGGTCACTGGCATCGTTTCAGCCTCCGCTGTCACCCGAGCTCCTCCCCCACCCTCGGCACAAGCCCACTCCCCCCTCCCCAGCCCGACGCGCCTCAGTCGCTGCCGTGCGCGCGTGGGCAGACGCCACCCCTCCTCAGCCAGCACGCGGTGGCAGCTAACAAGACCGAGACGGGGATGAGTCGCCTGCTGGTGCCTTCATCTGCGCCCTGCTCCCGTTCTCCAGTCCTCTGCAGCTGCCTCGCCAACAGCAGCCCCTCCGCAGGCCGCACTGAGACGAGAGGGTCAGGCGCTGAGCACCTCGGGGCTGTGCTGAAGCCTTTACAGCTGCGCGGCACTAATCCGATTCCCCGCGGATCTGCTACAGCAGCCTCCAGGAGCCTCCTCGCAGGCAATACTGTTTTTCTCAGAACAGCTAAATGATCGATCCGCCCAAAATTGCAAAGAATCTCTGCAGAATCAAATGGACAATTTTAAGTGAGATTCTTTGCTCCCCCCCCGCCCCCGTCACTGGTGACACGCAGCCAGTGGTTCCTCAGAGCCGCTGGGCGTTTTCGCTTCACTTCCTGTGCCTCCGCGGCGTCGGCAGGCCCGGGACCCGGGACGGTCCGGTCCGCAGTCCTGATCCCCGGAGGGGCCAGGGTGTCTGTGGGTTTTCTGGGTCTCTTTAAAGAACCAGCACCTGAAGCAGTGAGGATAAGCTGTTAGACCAAAGACACCCCGATTCGGTTCACCGTGAGCTGGGACCAGCAGAACCGAGAACCCGAGGGCACCGGCCGCTCCTGCTGGACCAGGAGTGAGGATCCCCGCTACACTGCCGACACGCCGCCCTTCCCTACCAACCGATCCTCCGTTTCACTTCCTGAGCTCCGCAATTTACATATTAACAGTTTTCAGCAGCTGTTGTAGTACACAGCCACTTATTGTACTCCTCCCTCCTGTTGTCACCACAGTTTCGGGTACTTTCCACCTTATCTCAGAGGGATTTCATACTCCCAGATTTCTCCCTGCCTGGGAAGCGTGATCTACACAGGATTCCTGGCCTGACAGCAACTGAATCAGAAGGGGAAAACCCAGACTGCGACACACGTGCGACGCCGAGCAGGGAAAAAACCCCCCGAGAGCCCCGCTCAGCCAGGGCCAGGGCCCTGCTTTCTGCCCCGATCCTTGGCAGGTCGTCACGAAAACAAGTTCCCCCGAGGAGCTGTGAGGCAGTCGCCGATTATTTTGCCTGGGATTTACAATTCATTCATTTCATTATGCAGTTTTCTTACTGTAACTGTTCTGAACGTCCTGGATTTCAGGCAGTGATCTCACTTACAGGAAAGGAACACAAAAAAAACCCTCGTGACCCCTTCCAGGCGAGGGGCAGGCGGGGCAGGTCAGAGGGCGGGTCAGAGAGCGGGCACAGGCGACTCCGCGTGAGCCGGCCTCCTTCCTCTGCTCGCCAGCCGGGGTCACCCCCCACCCCCCCACTTCCTCACCCTTCACACTGCATGGGAAGGCAAATCGAGGCAGGAAACAAAACAAAAAAAAACCAGCGGAACAAGAAGAACCAGAGTGGAAAAGCAATCGCGGCAGGAGGCCGCAGGTTCGCTGAAGACGCCAGAGGGGCACGGCTATCGCCGCAGCGACACCCCTCCGCTCGGCTCTGCAGCGCAGGTAGCTGCTTCCTGTGCAGGACGCCAGGGGCGGCTGTGGCCGTTCGGGGACTGGCCACGCAGCTGGGGTCCAGCGCTGCACCAGCACAGACGAGGGAAACCCCTCGGGGCGGACGGGGCGGACGGCATCCGAGCGCAGGCTGTCAGGCGCGAGCCGGGGCCGTGGATCTCCAGTTCTGGTCCAGGCAGGCCCTGGATACCTCACTTCAGCAGCTGGGCTAACAGCTGTCCTGAAGGTCAGCCGTGGCAGTGGCACAGAACCGCGGTGGAACTCAGCCCAAAGTCCCACCCTGCCCGGCTGAGTGACCACCCTGAATCTTCTCAGACAGCGGTGATCGATTTTTTGTTCCCCCCACCTTCAGGTCAACCCACCTTAAGATCGGAACCCAGGCCGATTAAATCAATGGGTTTACCCGATATGAAAATCCTTATTACAACCAATTCAACAATGATTAAAAGAACAGGTGAGTTTAGAATCTGAATATAGTCTCAGTTTCTGAACACATTAATATTGATACTACTGATCACAGTGTGCATCTTACCAACACAGCAACAGTACAGTCAGAACTGCGGCACTAGCTTCCTCTAATAAAAAACATTATTCCGCATCAGACAGGTTTAAGAAGATGAAATCTCACAATGGAACAGCACAGCAAAGTCGCTTGGCTGGCTCAAGTCTCTAACAACCCCTTTCATTTAAACCCATTTTAAATGCGGCCTGCAGAGCTTCTTGGACCTCACGCACAGTGGCTTGAGAATTAAATATAGGTATATAATTACACATTAATACACCCGCAATAGCTTGTTTGGGTTCAGATTAATCACCAAGAATTTGCCCAAGTGGTCATTAAAGGATTATGACAGGTGTAGGCCGACAATAAACTGTGTACGCAGACAAGTCGTTTAGCAACAGACGTGTCATGTCCAAAGTCACTCATCTAACCAATTTTAGATTTCTTAAAAGCAGCCCCTTGAAACTGCAATTGTCCTACATTAGTTTAGCTTATTGGTGCACAGCTCTTAAAATGCACCAGTTGGATAAAAAGCTAAATTACATCTGTAGTCCCTAGGCAGAACACAACCAACACCATGCAAGACAGGCGTATAAAAAACATTTCAAGACGTGTAGATATCACGAATTGTAAAGCGCAGAAAAATCTGGCATGGTTAATGAATGTGCCAAAGAGTCACAGTAGATGACACTCGCTTACCAAGATCACAATAACACGTGGTTATTGTTTAAAACAGTCACCAAAAGATGAATGAACACATGATCGATTTGCTTGAAGTCATGATTCCAATTGTTTTAAAATGTTATAAAATGGAGGAGCTCCTGAGACATCAAGGGATTGATTCATTTTTTTAGATTTACGGGAAGAAATAGTTTCCTCAGTGACCCGGACAGACCGGTGGAGCAAAAATAAAAAATGCAGGTGAAACTTGCAGCCCAGGGAGACCAAGACGAGCGGAAGCAACAACAAGAAAAGGAAAAAAACGCGCGATCTGCTCAGCGATGTGTTTAAAATATATATATATAAACAGCGCCGAAAACGACCAGACGGAAGAAAATCTAAAAACAGACAAGTACAAAAGAAACGTGAAAGTACACGTTTAACACATGCCTTACGCCTGACGTGTTACACTCTTCCCAGTGACTCTCAAGAGCTGTAGCTGAATTTCAGGGCAGACTCCCCAAATTTCAGGGTATTTCCTGGGGTTCACGAAAAAGGGTTTAAGAATTAGTTTGAATCCCTGAAACAATACAGGTCGTCAGTATTTTAAATGGCCAAAACTGACTTGTTTCAACAGATTTGCGCGCCTGTACAGGACTTGTAAGGATGGATCTCAGAGAGAAATATCTACCTAAAACGAAAAGACGTAAACTTTTTTTTTTCGGGAAAACAAAATACATATATATATTTAAAGTATTATTGTATACAAAAAGGTACAACATGACTCACGTGTCTACTAGTCCATTTATTAAAGGTTACTCGTGGTTTTACAGTAAAACGTCCCTTTATGAACATGTGGGTCACTTGTCATAAATAAAATACACTTTTTGGATCGTCTCGGGTCATTTATTCAGCAAGACTGGGTTTATTTAAGAAAGGAAAACGGAAAAAGATCAGCAGCTAACAAACTGTCAGCCAGCATCTTCAACACACTGAACCTGTCCGACTGCCATGTGTTTCCCGGCGTAGGGCTAAAACAGGCACCCCTGCCAGACTGAGGGTGAGATAAAAGCCGAAACAGTCTTACCTGTTAGCTGGGTTTGGGTGTTTCAGAAAAAAAAAAACAAACAGGCGTTAACGCGTCTGTTGAAGGGGCGAAACCTGTCCTGGAAAGAGCCGGGTCTGCTAAGAGCTCAACCTGCCCGCCGAGCCCAGTCGACTCTAAGGCGTGCGCGCCCCCGCCGCCGGGAGGGGGGGGGAGCGTGGGGCGCGCACGGCGGGGGGCGGGGCGCAGCCAATGACAATCCGCCTTCACGCAACACGCCACGCGGCCAGGCGGACCCGCCGGGGTCGGCACACGCGGTCATTGACCCCAACCTGCGGGGTCACACTGCTGGCCCTGTGTGTGTTTGCCGGCAGGGTCCAAAAACGGGGTTCCTGACCCCTCTCACCTCCTTCACCTTTTGCGCGTATATAGGTACGTGCGTATGTTTGTTTAACTTGCACTATGTTTGAGTTATTAGAGAATAAGTAATAGGTTTATTCCAGGCTGAAAAGAGAAGAAAGAAAACACAACGTTTCAGCCGTGGAGCCTTCTCCACCTCACACCTGAAGGTGTGAATTGAACCCAGCACTGTGAAGCGCAATACTAACCCCTGCCCCACCACGCCAACTTCAACCCTACCTCATATCCTTGGGAAATAATTTGGATGACAATCCGAGATCCATTAAGAAAATGAAATAGTTCACTCGGGTTTGCAAATATCTCTTCTGACTTTCTTATACTGACTGTCCAGTATACTGAGCATCACTCCGTGCATGCAAGTGTTGTGAGAAAAAAAAATCTGAGTTGGATACGTGTTAAAAAGTTTTGGTTTTATTCTGATTAATCGATCATTCATGCTTAACTCATAACACTCGTAGCGACTTTGCTGCAACAGCACTAAATCACCTCATCACTGAGAGAGCTGATTGGCGCAGATGAAGAGCTCGTGACCACACCCACCAGGGGCCTGTGACTTCCACCCTGAGCTCTCCGGCGACCAACCCTGTTGAAGACAAATGTTAAATTCATGTCAGTCCAGCTGCTACAAAGACATACATGTTCATTCTCCTTGCAATGACTTTGTGAATTTGTGAAGTTTTAGACAGATTTCTTCTGATGCAGAGATGCATTATGAATCTCTGCACAATAATCGCACCCCCTCCCACATGGCCCGTGGTGATCGTACTGAAGCCACTTGACAAACCACCACCCGCCAGACTGGGGCTATTCCTTCACTCACAGGGAACATCAGGGGTTTGTCCCCTCCTGCAGCATCAATCCCGGCCTTTCCCACTGACAGACTGGCAGGGTTCCCACCTCTTGACCTCCAGGATCAGATTCCAGGAAGCTTCCTGTGCTCTTTAAATACACTTAAACCTAAACGGGCTCACTGCAATGATAATGTTATGTAAAGAACCCTTTCTGACTTGGGACAGAAAACGGGAACAGAACTCTGATCCCAAGGTCTGTAACTCCTGTTGTGCTGCTGTGCTTGAGTGGCAGCACTCCTCTCTTCCTAATCTCTGCACTTGCCTGTTCACAAGTCTTTCTGGTCCCGATATATATTATCCGTCCGATCAGATTTGCATTGGCTGCAGATGAGGACAGGGCAATCTACTCAGTTTGGAAGGAAGGGGTTCCTTATATTTTGGCTTGCCAGTATGTGTTGAGAGATAGCCAAATACTACCTAATATGATATTCACGTTTAATAAAAAACATTTTTTTTACTATATATTCTGTTTTTTATATTTTAGCTCAATGTGTTGATTCATGGAACAGATACAACCCTCTCCATAATGTATAACAATTAATATGAATTTAGAGTTTTCTCCTACATATTATTTTTTTTTACATTTCAATGAGGCTATGTTGCTTTAAAGTGTTATCTAAAGTTTGAAAGCATTTCTCAATCAGTAGATAAGTATAAAATGCCAAATCTAAAAAAAATAATAACCCGATACAAGGTGTAACCATACAGTGGCTTATTTAAAAAAAGAATGTGCTTATTGCAAAAGACAAGCTTAAGAATGTAGGGTCCATAAATCTTGTACTTTGTGGTTTGCTAGGAGGCAGACAAAATGACTTTTGCCTCATCCAATGGTTTTTACAAACCAGTACTTCAAGACAGGCTGCCATTTTTCTAGAAGTTAGCTCAAGTTTCAAATTAACAGACTTAGAAGTTTTTTGTGTTCTCAATAATATTTAACTTGATTTAGTAAGTTACATGAAAAAATAAAATTCTAAACAAATGTATGCAGATGCCTGATGAGCACACACCTGAATCATGCCTATGAGATTAGTAGAACAGAAGACAGATTGTGCAATCATATCTTATTTCTCTCCCAGATATGCAGACAAGACTTGTACCTCTCCCACAGATGTGCAATCATGTATTGCATCTCTCGCCTTTCTCCTAGTTCTCTCTAGTCTACTAAGGTTGACTAAAGTTGTGTAAGACTGATATGCACGTGAAGGACAGCAGATCCACAAAGTGACACCCCTTAGTGCACCAGCTGAACTCGGGCAGCCTGCCTAATGGCAGGACACTGTTTTGTCATCAGGAGTTTCAAAGGTTCTGTACAACATAAAAACAGAAAAACGTCGGACAATAAACACCATTGATCAATGTGCATAGGTCACTTTCAGTATTTTTATTGCATATAACAGTTCCTGCATGTACATAAAACTAATTTTTAAGTGTCATAAATGCTTGTACATACTGTATGTAAGCATATGTATCTGTCAGCGATGTTTCTTTAAAGTTTATTGGAAATAGTACATGCTAACAGATGATAGGTTAGATATTTCGGTGAATGAACTAATGAAGTGCACCATGCAAATAATGAATGGTATAAGGATGCAGAATTAAGTATCTGGCTTCTCCCAAAACAAACTCCCTAAAATAAAAGAAAATAAAAGAATGGATGGACACATATATAGCTTACTAGATATTTTGTAGATTAAAGTGCAGTTAACATAAAGGTCTTAACAAATCTGAAGATTTTTCATTGATTAAATTCGTCTCGTCTTCGTGTGTAGCGGTCTTATGTTGAAACTGAATTTTGGCAGAGTAATCGCTCCACCTAGTGGTTATTTGAAGTAAACACCCCACCTACAGACGTCTCCCAAAACTGACACTGACAAGTACAGCCAATTGACTTATGCTTTGTTGGTTCTGTACTCGACTACCTTGTTAAATTGATTAATTTAATTATATTCTACAGTCGAAAGCTAACAATAAAGTAGGACATACAAACCCACTTCACACACTCAGTGTATTGAAAAGATTACATGTAAAATCATAAGCCTGGAAATAACTCCTGTCATTAAATAAGGTCAGTAGATATAATGTATATCATATCTTTTGTGGATATGATGTTAGTTATACAAGGTCATGCTGGTTTTGTTTAAATATTCTCCCAAAGTACCATTTTAAATAGTAATGTGCCCATTATTAGCAGGGTTTTCCAAATGTTTAGATCCATCTTTGAAAACCTCCACTGTAGTCATACGTGCAGTCTGTTAACTCCCCACTTCGACCATGAATCCTTACTCCATAATAAATACATTACAGGGGAAGGCCTACCACAGCAGAAAAAAAAGTGTCTATTCTGAAAATCGTGTTGATAGTTTTGTTTTTATCAAGTACTCAGTTTACCCCTGGAGCAAAACAGTTTGAAAATCACTTTTCTTGTTTAGTAGAAGAGATATGTAGGTATCCACACAGGATAATAGGAGCCGAGGAAAGTGAATAGAATGACATTTAACTATTCTTAGTTCAAAACTTTAAAAATACTTCGATAATAAATGCTCCAGTTACTTCATTGTGTGATTAATAGCTTATCTATTACATTTTAGGATTAATTCAACACAACCCAGCAGGTATTTTATGATGTGCTGATGTGGAAGTCAAACTTCAAACTAATCAAATACCATACCACTGATAAGTTAATGAAAAAAAAAACTTTTTTTTCTGAACTATTTACTGCGCTTTGTCGCAGGGTACTCTTTTGTGCTCATCTATCGCCCCCTACTGAACACGTATTGTAACTTCATCCCTAAAAACCTTTGACCTCATTTGCAAAATCCATGGCTCAGGGAAGACAGCCCATTGCTACTGCAGTCATCACCTGTAAAGTTGTCGTTTAACCCAGACTGTCCTGGTTGACCCCCGTATTTTAATGGTTTAATGGATTTAAAAAAAAATGACATGGTGGCATAGTGATTAGCATTGCTGCCTCGCGGAACGTTTGACCCTGGGTTCAATTCTGGACCTGGGGTGCTGTCTGTGTGGAGTCTGCATGTTCTCCCCAGGCCAGGTTCTTGTGGGTTTCCTCCCGCAGTCCAAAGCCATTCATGTAGATAAACTGGCTTCTGGGAAAGCCGGCCCGGCTGTGAGAGTGTGTCTGTGCCCTGCAATGGAATGGCGTCGGGTCTAGAGTGTATTCTGCCTTACGCTCACCCCTTACTGGAACAGGCACTGGCTCTCCTGTGCCCCCAGCTGGATGAAGGAGCTGCCGGGAAGCGCCGACAACTTCATGAACGGAACCGGCGCCGCCTTGCGGTGAGGTGGTCACGCCAGCACGGGCCTGCTTCTTGCTCGTGCCAGTTGCAAACTTCAAGCCCGTCCTAGAATACCAAACAGGTCAGTCAGCTTCTGCAATTTACTCTCCCCTGCAATCCACCCTCTTGGTCTGGATTGTTCCAAGTCTTTGTTCCAACTTCCCCTCAATTATTCAAGCGATTCAGCAATGACGTGAAGAAGCAATCCTGACCACTGAGCCATCCAAAAGGTTAAAGAAACAGACAAAAGGAACTGATTCAGTCCCTCCAGCTCATTTGTCTGCTCACAGGGTATTGATTGGTGTCTCATCAAGCTTTTTTTTTATTGAAGGAAGGCAGGACATAAACATTAGTAACGTGGCTGAGTAGCTTGTTCCACCCTCCCACAACCCTTTGTGTAGAAAAGTGCCCTTTTCTCACCTTTAGCGGCACTTCATTTCTCCTTGTGACCCTTCTAGTCTGCTCTGTTCAATTTGTTTTCTACCTACAGAACAACCATTTCTGTTTTCTTGTAACATTGCATTAAGCAGCTACATCTGAACCCAGCTCAGTTACTCTAAACGAGGCCCTCCTAGTAGAGGGCACAGTTTTATCGCAGGCATAAATGTGTAGCTGCTAATATGCAACCTGAAAACAGACCAGCTTGTTAAGGGGGGTCTGATATGCAGCCTCTGACAAACATCACAGCTACTGACACTTCCTCTGCAAAGCAATGCGTTTGTGGTCAAAATGCTTCCAGATTTAGAGCTTCTTTATCTTTTTGTTTCGATCTTCGTTTAAGACGCAAAGCCACCCCAATCACAGGAAAACAGGTGTGACATTTAGCCCCCCATCCCTGGACAAGACAAATGGATGTACAGAGGCCGGGGATTGCAAAGCCCTCTGTGCACAGGGCAAAGCGCTCCTGTGCTTCCTCAATGGAAACTGTGCAGAAGAGCTGTCTAGCACAAATGACCTCCCCCTCTCCCCTGTGGCTCCAGGTAGCCTCAAACTCGCTACTGAGGCTCATTTCCAAGCACACGTATACACCAGCTGAAGCCGGGCGCTCCCGTTTTGTAGACGATCAATGGAATAAAGCTCTGTACAGTCGCGATCTGCCCCAGACTGCAGCGCTTTGCAACAACACGGTAATGCAGAGCAGTTCAACCGCCAGAAACTAACCCACTTGCTGCACGAGTTCTCCGACCGTCTCCGAAGTGAACCAGGGCTGGTTTGCACAAAGTTATGTTTACTACACGTGCAACAGCACACAAGTTTTTTTTTTTTTAAGTGAACTTTGTGGCCTCGGAGAAAAACTGATCGTTTCCGTGCACACAGGGATTAAAAATAGTAATTTAAAAACGAACTGGACCAAACATTTTGCGAAATGCGTTATGAATTTTAGAACCAAAGTGGTGATTCCCAGAACATTTAACGTTCACACCGCACAAAATAAACTCACGAACTCGTCATCTCTGGTAGTGATCTACGTTTGTTTGTTTTTTTTACCTCACCTCCAAACTGCACCAACAGAATTAACACTAGGCTTTCTTTATCTGCCCCGTCAATACTGCCTACAATACCAGCAAACAGTCGTACCTGAGCCTCGCAATCCCTAAGGAGGGAGGGGGGTGTATGTGAGGGGTTATTTGTCAGTATAAAAACACCAGAGGGAGGCCGCGGTTCCACACTCAAGATGGCGGCCCCGTCACCCACTGCCCTCGCTCGCGCCGGCCAGCCGGCCCCCTCCCTTCCTCCCTCCTCGCGCGCTCCCGTTCCCGCGGCCGGGGCCAGGAAGGCGGCGAAAACGCGCCAGAGCTCTCGTCCGCGGCGGGAGTTACGGAAGGGGGCGGGGCGTTCCTCCCCGGGTTTTTCCCCCCCCCCCACCTCCCTCCGCTGCTGGTGACGTAGGGAGAAGAGGGTAGCAACAGTTGCCTTGAGACCCCCGCGCGCCATAGTGACTGTAGTCGTGGAGACAGTTACTTACCAACGGGAGCAACACGCAGCAACAGCAGCAGCAGCACCGGGAAGAGTGAGCGTGTGGGAGAGAGAGAGCAGCCAGGGCACAACTAAACACAAGGCGAAGGTGAATATATCTTTCCTGGGTACGATGAAATTTGCTTTCCTCCCCTCGCTACGCAGACGGGATGTTTTTCTTTATTTTTTTTTGTGGTGGTGGCGGTGGTCGTTCCGCTCTCCCGGACCAACACCACCATTACCCGCTGGGGAACAGCGACCACTGACGCGCGTCGTGGGGTGTGTGCGTGGAGTTTGGGGGGCTCCCGTGACTACCAGCTGTGTTGGTGTGTGCGCGACAGACACCCCCCGCCCCAAAAAAAGTTGGGACCCTCCCGGCCGGGGGAGCCGCGCTTTGCCGCCGAGCGGTGGGGTCGGCGCCCGCGAGAAGTGGCCCCGAGTGGCTCGAGCGGGGCGGGGGGTCCCGGGTGGTGCGGGGAGAGAGAGGGGACCCCCCACCCCGGCCCCCACAGCCGCTGCTGCACGCCGGGGGAGAGAGGGAGGGAGCCGGGCTGAAACTTCTCCACAACTTCCTTCCTCCCCGGCGGGCCGGTGGGTCCTCGTCCTGTCCCCGCCCGCCTCGCCGCGCTCCCGGCTTCCCCGGCCGGCCCGGCCCGCTGCCGGGTCCCGCACATGTCCGCGCCGGTGTTGTACCTCACCTGGGGGGGGGAGTTTGAAAACCTCTCACTCGTGGACCGGGGGGGTGACACCGGCCCTCGCACCTCGTTCGGTTCACTTGCGCTTCACCGCCGCCGGCGACCGTCTCTCTCTTCAGAGGCGCTCACTGCTAGTACCGGTTTTCTGGGCTGGGGGAGAGTGGAGAGTAGGAGCGGGGTGACGTTTCTTGCCACCTCTGCCTCCGGGGGCAGGAGAGACCTGTCGCGGGGCAACCGGCAGATGTGACCCTCACCGTCCCGACCGGTTCGTGGAGAGCCGGTGTCGTGTCCCCGGTCCCCGGCCGGACGCGTCGCGTTTCTGCCGCTCCCGGCTCCCCGCACTCGGGACTGGCAGAAAGAAAGAAACGCAGGAAGCCAGAGGAAAGTCAGCCGGGGACGGCTTGCTGTGTCTTCCCAAACTCCCGCCCTTCGGCTCGGCGTGCGAGGCGGGAGTCCGGGAAGGTCCGACGGCAAAACCGACGAGAAGTTTGTCGCCTCTTTCCGCCTCCTACAGACCCTTTCCGCGGATTGGAAACGGAGTCTTCGCCTCCCGCTCCCCAGATTAGCTGTGAGTCAGCATTTAATTACTCTCCAGGCGGAAGAGCTGGCTTTGCCGGTGTTTTTCCCCGATCGACCCCTTTTTCCCTAAATGTCTTGGCTCGGTTTGCAGCCCGTTGTCTGCTGATCTTAAGCGCTTTCACGGCATGAAATCAGTCCGGTCTCCACGACTCTGGAGCTCCTTCGCTTTCCCGGTCTGCTCCGAGGCGGCGTGTAACACCGGAGTAGCCTTGTCTTCCAATTCTGTGTGTTGGCGACCCACAGGTGTGTGTGTGTGTGGGGAGAAGTTCCAACAATTTGGGAAAGATGAACGTGTGATTGTCCCACCTAGGCCCACAAATCAGGAAGGATATCTCGCAGTGCTTTGTAATAACCTAGAGATGAAGGCTTTTCAATTGCCGATGAAATAAAACTGCACACCGGTTATCACCTGCATCAGAACCCCTGTTCCCTAGTAGTGTCCCATAGATCAGAGAGTCTGTCTTGCTGGGCGCAGTTAAGTCTGATGCACAGTTTTCCATAACAAGATGTTTTTTTTTACAGATTGCGCTTGTCGTCTTTGAGCTAAAAAGCAGTGCGGACTTTCAGGATGTGTTGGGCCGTAGCCCTGCATGAACGTCGCTTCAATCGTGTATGACATATCCGCAGTATAAGGGGTTGATCTATACCCCTTTCTTGAACAGAACACCAACAGGCCCGCAGTAAAGTTGAAAGGGAGACCACAATACCTTTGTTGCTTGATTGATAGAGCTTGTTCCCCATGGAGGGGAGTTTAAAACTTGTTGCAGACAGAAAACTGTCCTGAGAAGTCTGAGGCACTGCAGCGCCCTGTTGCATCAAGAGTGAGCCCGCGCCCACCTTGCATTTCTGCATCTCCCCCCTCCCCCCCTCATAATTTGTTTGTTGTGAGTTATTTTATTTATTTTTTTATTTGGCGGGGGCTTTTATCTGGGGATAAAAGTGAAAGGAACATCCATTTATACAGCAGGGCCACTTTGCTGGAGTGAGGTGACACGCGAGTGCACCACAGCAGTGGCCCCCTGGGATTTGAACCCGCAGCCTCTCCCACTGTGCATCCAGAGGCCCTAGACGCCATCCAGAGGTGCTGCCATTTGCCACCCCTTTCTGTAGTCGATTCTTTTTTTAATACTGCCAATGTAATTGCTCAAATATCTCAGCTGGGTGGTGCTATGCTGAATTATACAGCGTCAGGTGCCCTATTTTATTTATTCTACATTTCTCTTTGCATTGATCGTTTACCGATATAATTGTTCTCCCCCCTAATATTATGAGACATCTATGGTAAACTGGTATTCTGATTTGCGGCATCATAAGTTATTTTAAATTGAAAAGGTTTTAAAAATTGCCTCGCACAAAGCCTCTGTCCCAGTTTGTGCATTGGCTCGCGTGGGATTGAGGTATCCGTTTAATTTTGTTTGTTGATTAAATTAGGATTGCAGTTGGGAGTGAGCCTGGTTTGCGAGACTCTGTAGAGAAAAGCCCACATTCGCTCTCCTCATCTCCCACCGCATGACTGACACAGCTTGACTCCACACCTGCGTCTCGGTCACCTCAGCCAGCGCTCTTAATGAGCTCTATTGGTGAGGACTCTCCTCCAGGTGTCGGCACAAATTTGGTGCTTGGGGTGGGTATTCTGATCAAAGAATCAGAATGGTCACAATCGGGCAACGCAACTACAAATGTACACAGTATGCTACCTGCTTACTCTTTTCATCCAGTAAGTCCGGACTGGAAGCATGGTTTGGAAAACTTTGTCCCATGTCTTTCAGTGCTGACTTCCATAACAGGAAGGTCACGCTGCTGTTTTAAATTTAAAAAAAGGCCAATTCTGATCCCTGCATACTTATTCACATCAGCCTGTTCAACGGTATGCCTCCTGCTCATCTTGTAAGAAAGAATCTCTGTTTCTGTAAGCATGTAAGCAACATTGTTACTGTATCGATGAAAATGCTCTGCATCATGCGTTTCTCTCGTGATCCGCGTCTTATTTTGCGATTGCTTGTCTTCATGAACATTTAAACTCCTTACATTGTTTATTTCTATTTGACTACTGAATTTGGATTCCCCGTTAGCAGCTTTTTTTTTAAATCGGGAATTTGTTACCTAGTAATTTTGCGCACAAGAATGATTTCCTCTTCTGTTTTAGCTGTTGTTGCAGCTGTTTAATTTACGTTCTTTTGATCCTGTCTCTTTTTTAAGCGGTAATGAATGTACATTTTAAATGGTTGGCAAATGGACATTTGCTAAAGATGTTTGCGGTAACGGGGACTATTGTTGAAGCCCTTCGCAGCATAGAAATCCAGCTGGCGCTTTAATTAAGAACCAAATACGTTGTTGCTGGTAATGGAGCACACTGCTACAGGTGTCCCTGTGTTATCAAGAAGTAAATAATTTAGGAGGAGAGCCAAATGACTACTGCAATGGGGATAAATAATTGATCCCAGGAAATATCTACTTGTCTAAAAGGCGTCAGTTTCTGCACTGCAGTGATGTACAGTATGCGAGTGTTGTGAGAATATAAGTGGGACACGTTTCAACTACAGCGTAACTTGCCTGCTTTCTGCAAAGTGGAGCATTTTGTGAATTCTGTATCGCCTTAATTATGCGGAGGGTAATGGATATACCGGACACTGGGTTTGTTTTTTGTGTGGTTTATTGAAGATAAAAAAATTAACTCCCACGAGAGTAGCTGATTATGGATAAGCCTGGGACACAATAAAACTGTATACATAGCATAGGTGGATTCTTGTGGCTATATTTGTTTGAGAGAAACCATCAGGGGTTCAAGAGTTCTTTCTAATAATGAAAAGTGGCGAGCCCACACCTAACTAGAACCGCTGCTAAAACTATGACCACCGCTCATTTTGCTACAGGTAGTGCGTTTGAGTTCGCTGCACTGAAGAACAGCTAGGCATGATGCCAGCTGGAGCTGTCAAAGACATACCCCCAGCCCTGGTAAACCTGATCATCAGTTTCTAGTGACTTGGAAAAGATGATGGTTCTTCTGGTCGACTTAGCAGATCTACAGTATGTGGTGTAGTGAATGAGGAGTGGCCGACGCCTGTCCTGCAGGCCTCTTGCATTTCCATTCCAAATGATCTCCACTTCACCCCTCTGAATGCATTGCCTATAACCCATCGCACTACAGTTGTTCCGGGGCTTCATACATGAGAGTCTGAAGGAGCTGGCTGCCACAGAGGTGGTGTGTTGTGGCTCTTGAGAGCCAGGACTGATGGCTGAAATTCAGCTGATCTTTCTGTTCCCACCCCAGTGGAAGGAACATTCATGCATTTGCATTTGACAGAGCCAATAGTAAGAGAAAGACCTCTTAGGGCTGTATGGTGAGCTTTCCCAGTGGCTGGTTGTGTAAATGAATGGAATGAGCACTAAAACCTTTACTGAACTGAATCCAGCCAGCTCTGCGTATAGGGTGCCCCAGCAATGTGACTGAGCTCACCCAAGCAACTCTGGGATAAGGTGGGATGAATCCTGCTTGGGTTTCCCCCTATCAGATATCAGGGAAGCACCTCCCTGTGGTTGGAGAGGGAATCGCACTACTATGCACTGCAAGCTTGTGCCAAGACTACGGGATCTGACACTGATCTGCCCCTGTGTCTCTGGACACCTCCGTCCAGGAGGGTCACTGCCCTTCACCACTGGGGTGTGGTTGATAAGTAGTTTGTAATTTATGTTTAAATTAGATTATGGCAATCGGAGTCTCTTCATGTGACTTGATCGTAACGCCTGCATCTCTTCGTGGGAGAGGAGGAGTGAATACAAATTGTCTGTGGTGGGAAGGGTTTTGTTACCGAGATACAGTAGGTGCTCATAATGCATTATTTACTTACTGTCTTAAAGCATGGGGTGAAGATAGAGTACAGTCACAGTCCTGCTCCCTCCAGTCCATTTAGTTAGAACTGAACAGCCGCAAACACTTTTAAGAGATTGCTTTGAACAATCATAGCACATTTCCCATTTTATACTGATATCAGGAGCTGACTCTTCTTACTGTGCTGTCGAATATGCACTGAGGCAACCCCCCCTGTGCCTAGTGTAGGCAACACATGACTTTCTGTTTACATCATTCAGTTGTCATGATCCCTTTGCTTTTGTTCAGTTCTTGTCTATTTCCTCAACCTCTGTGAAAAGAACTGTGGTCGTATTACAGTTCCCCTAACATCCATCTGCTCTCTTCCGTGTCGGATGCCTGGAATTTTTCCGGGTTCAGGAGCATAAAGTATAATCGATCCAGCCCCGGCCTAGAAGACTTTCAGATGAGACTTATTGCCTTTTTATTCTGTTGGCTTATTGTAATAAAAAATGACTACATTAGAAGTTTTTGAGGAAATGGCAAAGCTGCCTTTTGGAAGAGTTCAGCATTCAATTGAGCCTTAAGTCACCAGCTGAAAAAATAAACAGCCCTAAAAGAGTAAAAGCACCATAATAAGAGTGTGTTATGTTTGCATGGTAACTTATTAAACACCAAAACACCCAAACCTATGGAAAAGTGTCTTTCTTTAGAAGCTGAGCTTTTTTTTTTAATTGAGGTTATTTTTACCGTTCTGAGCACAGTGGGCGTACATATTTCAAGCTTGCACAGGCAGGTTAGAGGGAAAGGGCGCTCTGCGGAGAGCAGGCAGGTACAGACTGGATGAGTCTGTGCTGTCAGTAAGGGGGATGAATTCACAGGGGTGCCGTGTTTATGTAGATATGCGCTGTGGTATTACTAAGGCACAGCAGAGAAGCTGCTGTCATAAATGGGGGGTGGAGGGACAGTGGGACTGGTTACAGTATGCCAGAATGCCAACAGGTTTCTTGAGAACTTCCAGTCTTTCCCCGGTCTCTGCCAATGCTTCTCTGTTTCAAATTAGGTGGTGGTTTTGTGTGACACATTGAAGTCCGTAGAGGCGTCAGCTGAGACATGGCAGTTTGTTATACAGAGGTTCTGTACAGCTGCTTC